ATTCGCCAAAGTACATGATAGTTCTAGAAACGTTGCGTCACAGTAGTCATGTGACTCGATGACGCAACAATATTTACTTTCACATCTTGAACTTTTATAGTTGTTAAATCTTTCTCTGTCAGATAATTACTAGTCTTTTAACTTGGAAATATCTTCGTAATTTAAATATTTTTTGAGCATTTCACATACATTTAAAACCAATAACTGAGTTACTTTTATAAAGTAAAATAATAAGTACCAGCTATTCGAGATATCATGTATGTATATATATATATTTAATTTGGATTTGAGGAGCTTCCTACGAGTGACTTCGGTCAGACTAAGGACAAAAGGTTCTTTATCTGAAAACGATACACCCAGGACACTTGAAATGGACTAATGAAGAGACTGCTGTCTAGCCTAAAAGTTTATTTGAGTATGAAAGAAAAAGTTCATCTATTTATGTAAATTTTTCAAAGTACATTTCTTTGTGTTAATATTTTTCGTACTTTCCTGCGTTAATTTTAAGTTGTTCAAATCTTAAGAATATATATTACGTTAAAATATGCAGGATGGTTGAAAACTGAGGCCGAAACTTTGAAACAGCACAAAAAGGGAGGGAGGAGGGGGATACCATGTTCTTATGCATAAGGATTCACTATTGTCTGGAAATTATACTAGGAGCATCGCTGTGGTAATATTTGGAGCCGTTCAAATATTACATTAGGCTTGGGAGGAGAATATCTCGAGTCTTACAGAATTTGACAGGAGAGGCAAGGGAACTAACCCACACGCTACTGAATGTTACTGAAGGGTGTATTTTTAAGTAGTACATAAAAAATATTTACCAATTTCAAATCGAATTCACGTGAAAATTGAGAAGAAAAAGACGCACCAACATTGAATTAAAAGTGTATTAATGATAGTTCTATGCTAACTTTATATTTGACATCATATTTTGCGTTTCAGCGTCTTCCAGTGCGCTCGTGAACAAAGTACTATAATCATACTATATTGTGTCAAATTAACGTTGTCTCTGGAACATTAAGATCAACAATGTCAAAACTAATGATGTTGATACTTATATGTGTATTCTGTTGATGTTATGTCTATCACTAGTACTCTACCAAACCACAATAATTTAATTAATACTGTCTATCACAAATGTTAAGTGATTCATTTCACGTCTACCACTAGTACTCCACTAAACTACGTTATTGTAATCAATACATTCTATCACAAATGTAAATAGATACAGAATCGTTCTGTGATGTGAAAAAGCAGAGAATATCAAACAATCAATTTACATTTGATTAAATCTTTAGTTAAGACTGTCGTACGATATTTCTGTCAATCATATCATTTATGCATTTAATTATACTATAAATATTTGCAGTATAAAGAGCTCATGAGTTAGTTTCTTGAAATCAAAAATTAAAACTACACTTTTCTGTTAATAACGACGAAGATGGTTGACAAAACACAAAACATTTTATTTACAAGGTTCGAATGATTTGGAATACACTCATTCCACCTCCTGGAATATCTGAAAATAGTGTTTCAAAGATATTAATTAACCTAATGCTATAGTATCATTAATCACAGGTTTACTTAGCTATTGAGTAAATTGGTAAAAAGAAGGAAAAAGAGAAAAACAACAGATTGGTCATAGAATATATTTTGAAACAGTTCAGTTTTAACTGGGTAAATTTAGAATAATTTTAGGGGACAATCGGGTGGGCTCACAAACGGTTCAAAAACACAATCATAAAAATCTAAAAAACAATAAAGCCAACCACTGGAGTCTAGATTGTAATTTCGTCATTTCTAGTGAGTTTTATCAAGTAAGTAAAAGACACAGGTAAGTTTTTTTTAAACTCATTATTTGTTATACTCTTTAAAACAAACATTAGTATTCACAATCTCTGAATGACAGTTTAAGAAAAGCACGACATTTTGTTTCCCTTGTTTGATAAGGGCATGTAATTAAGTTTTTTGTGCTATATCTTTTGAAAGTAGTAATTAAAAATATTTTTTTCACATAAAGGATACATCAGCTTATTTAATATATAAGAGTAATGTTATTCTCTTGTTCTTAAACACGTATATCTGAGGGGAAATAATGAAAATGACAACCTCTACTTAGCAGTGAGTTCAGATTACTTCTATATTTCATATTAGTTATATTTTCTACCACTAGATGGAAGCATATAATGTTTTTTTTATACAACGACAGTTTGAAACTTTTCCGTGCATAAACATGATATCTGCCAAATCAAGTTCGCTAAAAATAAATAAATAAATAAAGAATTACCTAAATTAATATTCAACGTATCAAGTAGCTTAAGTCTTTATGCAACTGACAGACCAGTGTACATGTTACTGATGTCTGAGTTGAATAACACCAGTTTCTTAATTATCAAAACAATACAATATATATAGCAGTCTTCTTCCCTTAAATCTTCAGTGGGACCGAGTCTGGAGCTATATATGTTTACGAGCCTTGGGATCCGTATGATGTCCTCCCCATTAATTGCTCTGACCCTGGCCTTATATGCATATACAGTAACCTAGGGTGGAGTTGGAGAGTGTGGGTTCTGGAAATGACCCCTTAACGTCGGTCCAGTGCTCCGGGGTACTTGTACCATGCTGGAGGAAGTATTCCAGCTTCGCTGGCCTCCCACTTAATTCAAAATTAGATTAATTATTACAAGTGTGATTGCTGTCGTTTCACATGAACAAGGTCTTATAAGTTTGTTTAACTCTCAATAGATGGAGATGATATTAAACTATTATAAAACTTGTATTTAAAACACAAAAGATGTAACAGCATTTTCAATACACTTATCAACTGTTGCTACTTTATATTCCTTTACATCATGAATAATAATTGTTGCAAATCGTTCTCATTATTCATAAAAAATATCTAGCTTTCTACTAACTCTCATCTTTGGTTTATGCTCAGTATCAGTGTCATGCTTTCATCATCCTTACTTGACTTTAAGTAATAAAACGTTATTAGCATAACCAGGAGCTTATCCATTAATTATTCAATTATATCCTCTCAGGGTTTGAGTTTAGCCTAATGTTATTTCAGGATAGTAACATGAAATCAAATACATATACCAGTGAGAAGGAGGTGTTGGCAAACTGATTGATACTAATTTAGAAGAAGTGAGTACAAAAATGTCACATTTAGAAATGTTCTGTAAAACATTTATTAAACTTGTCCAAACTGTACTTTTGTCAGTTAGGTCTGTTAAATTGATTTTTATTTTACTTTTTTATCATATATAAGTTTACATACAATATCAATAATGGAATGCATTTACTCCAAACAAGTAAATAAATATCATAGTAGCAGTGGTATCTTGTACCTGATAATGCATGTAATATTGGCTATATCTTAACTCCACCCGAAACACAGAAAGTTACTTTAGGTGTCTCAATTTCTTTATACATCAGTTTGATTCATTGGTCTTGCAAGTTCCATGGCTGTAAAAACTTTGGTAACAATTTTGGTGGCAGACAAAGCTTATCTATTATTTGAAATGAAAGATTATGAGATAATTAGTATTTTTTTAAAAAGAACACGGCATGATCAATGAGACACCTTATACAATCAAAATTATAGAAATTTGTGACAATTTTGTCGACAGAAAATATAAGGAATCACTTTTGATTCAATCCAGAAATTCCCCCGTGAATATGTACAATGTCTGGCCCCTTTAACATATTATTATTATCTGCTTGTTTGTTAATTTCCGTTGTAAATTCTTTCCGAGGAACTTCAGCGATACAAGTCCTTTCTTAAATAAAACTAGTTTATTCTTTCTCGATACAATTTTGCAATACACAGAATTTCCACAGTCACTTTAACTTAACTACATTTATAAATACACGCTATAATTCACAGCGATTCACACACTTTACTTACGAGGCCTACTGTTTAGGCCCGGAATGGCCAGGTGGTTAGGGCGCTCGACTCGTAATCTTAGGGTCGCGGGTTCGAATCCCCGTCACATCAAACATGCTCGCCCTTTCAGCCGTGGGGGCGTTATAATGTGACGGTCAATCCCATTATTCGTTGGTAAAAGAGTAGCCAAAGAGTTGGCGGTGGATGGTGATGACTAGCTGCCTTCCCTTTAGTCTTACACTGCTAAATTAGGGACGGCTAGCGCAGATAGCCCTCGTGTAGCTTTGCGCGAAATTCAAAAACAAACAAACAAGCCTACTGTTCGCTTGACCCAATTTATTTCTCTTCAATCTTTCTCCGGCTTAGGCCCGGCATGGCCAGGTGGATAAGGCGCT